ATGGAACTCAGGAAAGCAACAAGTTTCCCTCCATTCTGGCGGCGAGGGGGGGGAATCATGTTATAATTAATCAAAGATGTCTGAGCCCTGCTGAGCTTCTGGTAGTCACCAAGTGATACGGGACTGCACTTCTCTTACATCTCTTCAAGAGGACCACTGGGCCTGAAATCGCCTTCCCATCACACACACACACACACACACACACACACACACACACACACACACACACAAACACAAAGGACTGATATCGCCAGATAACAGCCAGATTGCATGTACCTCAGATGATGTGAGTGGACACAAATATCAATGAGCATAAGGACAGATGACAATATACTAGATGTTGCCCTCTGAAGCCTGTATTCCACATACAACCTGAAGAAGAGACATGTGGGGAGAAACAGTGACTGAATCAAGAAATCTCAGTTTGACTAAGAAAACCTCCATTTGGTAGAAAAACTCAGATTAGCCTTGTGCTACTAGGCAGTAATTGGCTTCAGATGAAAAAAATATATATAGAGAGAGATAAAGACATACACACAATCACACACACACACACACATACACACACACACAGAAAAAGAGAGAAAGGTAGAAAGAGATAGACATAGGAGGAAAGAAAAAAATGAATGATATTTTTAGCATACCTGAGTTTGTGTCACGAGAAGTCAGTATAAATATATTAAATTACTTAAGTTGATAGTTCTCAATGACCCCCTTTTATTATATATATTTTAATGCTTCATTTTTTATTTCAAATATCAGTTTTTGGATAATACAGACTGCACACATCACTTTTTAAAAAATTATATTATGTTCTATCTGCAATATATCAGAAAAATAAAACTAAATTATAATCATAGGCTATTACATCAATATACGTTTAATATCATGTCTATACAGTGAAATGAAGTAAAGTGAATGTCTGTACCAACATGTAAGGTCACCAAGCATATGTACACTGGGAATATGTATAGTTGAAATATATACATCCTGATATAGTTATGATGAATTGGAAATTCCCAAACTGTGAGTGGTATGAATATTGATGGCATGATTTTTCAAGAAGCTGAGGAAGTCTTGGAAAGTACTATGAAAAATAAAACATAAACCTTTGATTTATAACATACTTGCCTACCTGGTTTACACACTATTTTTACTCTTCCTCATTCTTTGCATTTACCATTGCTGGTCCCTGGTATCTTGCCCACTAAAATTCCAGTGTCATTCCCAGTCATTTGGTTGTTGTAATTTTTTTTCTTTTAGTTTTTTGGATTTTTATAAGGCAAAATTTTTATTAAAGTATAATACACATAAAGAAAAGTACACAAATTCTAAGTATACAGCAGCATGAACACATCAGTTTAATCAACATCCAGGTCAAGAAACATGTTCTCAATACCATGAAGGTCCTCTTGTACCCCATTCCAGTAACTACACCCTTACAAAAGTAAACTCCATTCTGATGTCTAATAGCATAGATTAAGTTTGCTGATTTTGAATCTTATACAAGTGGACTCATTCAATATGTAGTCTATTGTCTCTAGCTTCTTTTGATCAAAATTATATTAGTGAAATTTATTCCTATTCTTGGAATTAGTAACAGTTTGTTTATTCTCATTGCGATGTCATATATTACAATTTGTCCATTCTATTGTTGATGGAAACCTAAGTAATTTCCAGTTTGGGGCTACTAGAAGATAATGCTGCTATAAACATTCTTGTACGTCTCTTTTGGTGAATGTATGATTCCATTTTTTATTGGAAATATACCAAGACATGGAAATGCTGGGGCTTAATATAATACCTAGCACAAAATAAATCTTGAGTTTTGAGTCATTGCCCCAATGATATCAATGCCTTTTAGTGATTGTGAGGAAAAATAAGGTAATAGAAAAAAATGACCAAAGCAAACTACTACTAAAAATATCCATTTATTATTAATTGATCAGGCTATAATTTGCTTTGTGTAATATAAAGTATTTAGAACAGATAATCTTAAGCTTTATTCCTGTGTAAATTTGACTATCAGTTGGTGTTAGTCAAAATTATAATCAGTCGAATTTAGGATGAAAAGACTAAAGGTAAAATTTTTTGGACATCTAAATTTTACATGTTTTCTATTTTATTTAAAGTTGCCTACAGAAACGACTGGTATAATTTATTTGTATGACTATGTAAGCAAATGTTTTAACCCATATGTAAATTTAATTTCCTTCTAATTCTTTTCTAATAATAGGAAATTGATGTGCTTTTGCAAATAGAATACTGTTGTGCTTCATTCACATTTAATGAGTTCTACTATGGTCACACTTTGCACTTTCACAATCATTTCTGCCCCTACATGATATTAATTGGATCTCTTCCAAAACACATTAGGCTATTTATGCTGTTTGTTGTCTAAAAATGCTACATTTGCCAATTATCTCCTAAAATTTGCTCCAGAGTTTTCATCTGATTACTTTCACAACATGTACTTCAACATTTTAACTTTTCTGTAAATGAGAAGGTCCTTCTTTTGCTATAAAATTTTCCAAATGTGATGCCTCAGCAAAGTTTTTAAAAAGAAACAAAATATTGAGTAGAAATGAATGCATTGTAATTTTTTTTCTTGCCCCCAAGAAAAATAAAACTGAGCTCCGGGAATAATGTTATGACTCTGGGAAGACAAACATATAGGGAGCAGAATTGCATTGAGTTGGGAAATAATTCTAAACATTTAGAAATATTTTTCAATAATTTTAGGAATATAATGTTTTTCCTTGTTATTTTTATATATTATACAAATGCAGTTTCTGAAGAGGCAGCAGAATCTGAGTATTGATATCATACTTCTGGGAATTAATATTGTACTCACTACTTTTTAATACATACAATGAAAGCTCTCTGATCAAAATACGTTTTTCTCTTTAGAATTTTGCCACTTGTACATAAGCAGAAATCAGACTGTAAATAGCAGGATGCAAATTTTGTTTAAAGATATATAATATGCATTCTTAGAAATAGAGATTGTTAATATGTACACTAACCTCTTTCATTGTTATTTGGCTAGGTGACACGAGGTAAATACAATCGTAGTTTTATCCTTATTGTTATTCTGGAAAATCTTAGTTCTCACTAATTCGATATGTTTAGCTATCAGAGTTTTAACTGTTGATCGCCAAAACTATCAATTAACATTTATCTTCATCTCTATATAGGGCAAGACCTACATTTCTTTCTAAAAGTGGAGATAACAATTGTAATGAAAATACTGGAGTCCTGGGTCAGAATTAGAACTCTCTCCATTGGGAGATCTGAAGATCTCGCCACGGAAGATCTGTCCACTATAAATTACATCAAAGATGAAACTGGTCTTCACAATCCCTACTCCAGTCCCATCCCCTATCCCGCTCTTACATATCTGTCCTTAGGAATCTAACACATTCTAAAACTTAACTAGATATCCTCATTATTTCAATGCCTACCTGTACCCTGTTTTATCTATTCATTATAACATTTCTTTTAAAAGGCATTACATTTTCTTTATCCAGTCCAGCTTCTATGGGCAACATGGTTGATTCCATGTTTTTGCTATTGTGAGTAGAGCTGCAACAAACATACGTATGCAGGTATCTGTTTTGTAGAATAATTTGAGTTCCTATGGGTATATTCCCAACAGGGGAATTGCTGGGTCATATGGAAGGTCAATTTCTAGTTCTTTCCATAAAGAAGGACAAATATATGGACTTTACAGCAACTTGGATGAATTTGGAGCTGATCATTCTCAGTGATCTATCACAGAAACAAAGAACAGAGTACCATATGTTCTCACTCATAAGCGAACCTTGAACAATTATAATACTATAAGAAAGCGTTTGGCAGCAATGGGAAACTGTCAGGGGACGGGGTGGGATTGGCAGTTGAGGGAAACTGCTAGGGGAGGGAGGGGCATACCTCATCAAGAAGGTTACCTGCATAATCAATGTTTGTATACCTAACCCTGAATTGTACCTTGCATCTTTATAATAAAATAATAATAATTTTTAAAAAGGCATTACAGCCATTGTGACAGGGATGTTTATTTTCCAAACACAGATGTTCAGATTCGTATCAATGTTTAGAGGACAGTCTTCTTCCTTTACTGTACAATAACTTCGAATTGTTAGATCTTAGGGTGTCGGCACCCTACATGTCTTACTCATCTTGGAATCTCCAGCATTTCGTTTAGGGACTGGCACAAAGAAAGAGTTCCAAGTTTGTTGTGAAACCGAATAAATCTGGGTGATGACTGACACCCTAGCGCAGTGGGTTAATCCTATTAGACCACACAACAAACTATTGAAATCTCCCGTTCTGGGATCAGCCTTCCCAAGTACATGCCAAGTTTAAGTGTAGGAATCTTGTTGTTTTCACAACCCCTGCAGGAGTCTTGGCACACACAATTCGCTCTCTTAAAATCTGTTGAAATTGAACAGCCATAAATCAATATTGAAAAGTAAAGTGTGAAGGGAAAAAAAGAGGAATGTAAAAGATATAACAGGGTTGGGTTGTTGGAAAGACGGAAGAAAACCAATGATAAAGCGAAGTTAACATCCCAGCTTTCAGAGTATTAACCAAGCTTCCTGCGTGCAGGTTGCCTTAGCAACAGCGGAGAGCGTCCGCCCGAGCCCCGCTTATCGCCCCGCCCCCCAGCCGTCACACTCCTCCTGCGCCTACCCGGCACCCTTACTTTCGCCCCAATCTGCCAGCTGGGATCTAAAGTCTTACTCTCTGTGCCCGTATGTGTGCTGCCTTACTAAAAATATGGCAACAACTATCTAGAGTAAGAAATATCTTCTTTACGTATAATCCACATTTTTTCTGCAGATATATAAACACAAAATTACAAGCTACTTGTAATTTGGAGGCTCTGTCTAGCATGAGCGTTTGGAGCCGATTATCAGGCAGTGCCCTGGACACCAGCAGCCTTGGAAGTCCCCGGTTTGCGGAGGGAGACGTGGATCTGAGTGGGGCGGGGTGGTCCCTGTCACTGTGGAGGAAGCGAGACTGTTCGTCGGGGTTGGCGTGGTTTTTCTGTCAATACTGGCTCCACCATGTGAGTGATTGCTTACCAGCCGTCCTCATCCCTAATCCTGCTGCTCGACCCTTACACTCTCCCGCTCTCTTCCTCAGGTCGAAGGTTTCCTTTAAGATCACGCTGACGTCGGACCCGCGGCTGCCTTACAAAGTGTGAGTTGCTAGGCCGGGATGGGGCCCTCGGGGCCGGGCAGTACTGACTGGACTGGCGGTGATCCGAGTCTTTCGAACAACTCCCACTCCATCGCTTCCCTTTTTCCACCCCTGTCCGGATCTTGAGAGGCGAGGTTCCGTACTTGCCTCGTAAAAGGGTCAGCTTGGCCCTGGCAGGAGAGTGGGTGTATTTGTGTTGGTCAGTGCCTCTGGTGGACGACTGGAGCGGGAGGACGTGTGAACAAGACTCTGGTAATATCCTGGGATTCTTAAACAGTCTGTCTGCTGGGTATTAGAGAGGCCTTTTGCTGCTTCGACCAGGTGTTAGAAGTTAGGAAAGACAGCCCGGTTGTCAGACTGAAATTACTTGAATGTATGTTAGCGTTAAATTTCTGTGTTTTGTTGCGTGTGAATGACTCAGTAATTGGGCATCACAAAGTAATGAGTCTCAAATCACACACTTCCTAGTTGGGAATTAATAAAGAGTGCTTAGTAGCAAAGTGTGGAAATAGGGCAGTTTATCTATGTGGTCCTTTACTTATTCTTTTGCAGTTAAATTCTGGTTTAACACGAATCTACCTACATACTCATCTGACTCTTCCTATGGTTTTAAGTAAACACTCTTGAGGTTATTGTGTCTGGAAATTCCATGAAATGTGGCAAAGAACAGGATTGCAATAGGATTTTTTTTTTCATAATTAACATAATTAGTCCCGTGACCTACCTAACTGAACTGATAAGTTTCAGTGACTACCTCACTGTGACCCATGCAATCTTCCAGACTTTTGCTTCTTTGATCTTTTCATCTACAAAATATCCTTTTTACACTTTATCTCACATGTTCATGGTCATAGTCTAGAATTTTGAGACTTTCAATAATTGCTTCATCTCTAAAATGTCATTGTGAGGCAGTCTCTTATGGTTAACTACATTGCCTCTTTTTAACTCATTTACTGTAAAGTCTCTTCTACAACACTGTACAATGTTTCATTTAATCCATTAATCACATTGTTATTTAATCTATAAATATCCACTCCCCTATGCCTTACTTTATGGTCTATCTTTAAGTCATTCTGTAGCAAGCACCTCAACTCTAGTACCTACCTTCTTTCCCCAGCATGTTTTGCTTGGTGAAATACCACCTCTTAATCCGGCTATTTGTGTTCTGTGTACATAGCTGGATGTGTCTGGAGAAAATAACACAACAGGCTGTTGGGTTTTATGTGAAATTCATGACTACACTCAATAGTACTGCCTTGCACTATACTACATTCTTCAAATTTGCTCACTTTTCTCTTTATTCTCAGAAAGGATTTTTTTTTTTCTATTTTGAGTTGGAGTCTCACTCCATAGCTCAGGCTGGAGTGCAGTGGCACACTCATGGCCACCCCAGCGTCAACCTGCTGGGCTCAGGCAATCCTTCTACCTCAGCCTTCCAAGTAGCCGGAACTACAGGTGTGTGCTGCCATGCCCGGCTAATATTGTAGAAATGAGGTCTCACCAAGTTGCCCAGACTGTTCTCAAACCTGTGGGCTCAGGTAATCCCCTCACCTTTGCCTCCCAAATTACTGGACTTGAGCCACCACACCCGGCCGGATTATTTTTTTTTTTGTCTCAAACTTTCCACAATTTAGTTTCCCCTTACTCTCAAATCTATCAGAGGGAAATTATCTTATTTTTCCATTCCCCACATCTATAAACCTTGCACTACATCTATAAACCTATAATTTCAGTCTCCCACCCTGTTACGATGAAAAGCCAATCGTTCCACTTGAGCTCTGGATCCCATCTATTTTAATCTCAAGAGTACAGTGGATGGAATCAAGTGGCTCATCTCTCTTCATCATTGGTTTCTCCCTCTATGTTGGATTATTCTTACCAATGTGTAAATGTACACATTGAAAGAGAGTGAGGAAGAGGGAAGAAGAGAATAGAGTAGCACTATATCCTTACATACCTGGAACATTGTACCAGTCCAATTAATAATGTGGTGACTGAGTTTAGTAGATATAATTATTTAGCATGTATATATGTATGTAGTTGTATGTGTATGTTTAATCTATGTATGGGCATGTATGTGTAAAATACATATAATGTGGTGATATATGTATATGTGCAATGGTACTTACGCTATATATCCTATTCAAAGTAAATGGTAACTTAATCCTGGCATGGTAGCTTATGCCTGTAATCCCTGCACTTTGTGAGGCCAAGGTGGGAGAATCACTTGAGCCCAGGAGTTCAAGACCAGTCTAGGCAGCATAGTAAGAACTTGTCTCTGCAGAAAAATTTATCTAGACATGGTCGCGGGTGCTTACAGTCCCAGCAACTCGAGACTGAGGCAGAAAATTTACCTGCCATGATCATGCCATTGTACTGCAGCCTAGGTAGCCATGATTTTTTTAAAAAGGGGGGAAAGAAAAGACTAAATGGTACTAGTAAAAGCAACAGTAAGATTTGTGGAAAAGCATGTTTTAACTTTTAAATACTGGTCTTTGCTTGTCAAACAAGTAAACTCTGATAGAGTAACTACCCTTGAGCTGGGTTCTATGGTGCATGCCTCGGGAGATTGAGGCGGGCGAATTGCTGGAGCCTAGGAGTTCCAGATGTCTACACTAAGTCCAGTATCAATACGGTGATCAGATGTCTACACTAAGTCCAGTATCAATACGGTGGCTCCCAGGATTAGGGAACCAGCAGGTTACCTAAGAAGGGGAGAACCAGCCATATCTGAAACAGAGTAGGTCAAAACTACAATGCTGATCAGTAGTGGAAATGTGACTGTGCCTTTGAAAAGCCACGGCACATCAACCTGGGCAACATAGTGAGATCCTGTCTCTTTAAAAAAACAAACAAAAACTTGAGTTTTATTTAGTTTTAAATTTATTCTGGGGGATGTCAGAGTTTTTATTTTTGTTTTGTTTATTGATAGAGTTAATATGGTATCGACACTAGGCCACAAAAATGTTGCTATTAAACATTCTTTTATACACAGGATAAATTAAAATTACATTTAACTCTTTCAGTCTGATTCATATCTTTTCTGTCTTATTTTCCAACTTTTCTTCTCCTCCCTTTCTTACTACCATATCACTTAAAGCTTCAGCCTCTCCATTTCCAAATTGACAAACTAGCCCTTTTAATCCTGCTTGCCTTTACACATGTTTTCTTCTGGACTTGGAGTGCAGTCTCATGACCACTACTCAATGACCTGTTGTAATGCTAAAAATTTCATGTCTCTGAAGATTTCTGTAATTGTCTACAGAGTTAATCTCTTTTAACTTCCTGTGGTATATTTGTTCTTAGGCTTTATAATAACAGTTGTCAGGTTGGGTCATCGTTTTGTTTACATGAAATATTTATTAGAAGAAAATAATACCAGTAACTTACTTTAAAAATTGACTTTAATATAAAGGATATTTCACATTTTCTCAAAATACAAGTATCATTTAAGTGACAACTTTGTGAAATGATGTTAACTGGCAAGTAGAGTAGCTTCAAATTAGTTAAAGTCTGTGGAGTCACCATGACTCTCATTTTTTCTGATTTGTGCAAATCAGAACATGCATTAAAAGATGTTTTCATTTTTGTTCTATTGGCTTATCTGGACAGTCTCACCGACTTAATATACAGGTAGAAACGTACCTTAATAAACCTCAATGTGATAGCTAGTTATATTGCAAGAACATTTCTGAGTCTCCAATTTGAAAGTGAATTGAACCCCAAGCTTTTAGAAATTCTATTGAGGCAGATTTTTAAGAAAACAAATCTCAGGTTCTAAACTATAGAAGTATTGCAGAAGTACTTACAAAATCCTGTTGCCTACTCTGTAAGCTGTCACATTGCCAGTTTATTAGACTTTTTAAAAAAACAAATGTCTATCCTTTAGAACTGTGTTTTTATTCCCCCCCTCCAAAAAAAATTAGGAAATAAAGGGTAAAAATGATACCCATTTTCCTCCTTTAACAGTATTTTGGAGGGGTGGACTGGGGGTAGCCAAGAAATCTATTTACAGTTATCTTACTGAAAATCAAAATAATATGCTGTGGTTGATATATATGGTTCTTATCTTCATAGATGTGTAGACTAAGTGGGGAGAATATTACATCATGATACTTGGTATTAAGACATTAAAGAATAATACAATAGTATGGTGGTGGCAGAGAAGTTTCAGTGAGAGATGTTAGCTTGTCATTCTCTCTTCCCTGCTTTGAAAGATGTTCTGTTTTTAGTCGTTTGTAATTTGTTTTACTTTAGAAATCTTATCTTTAAATTTTTTTAGGGTATAATGTAAATTTCTTTTTCAGTTTTTTAAATCTGAAAATTTTTACAGATTTACCCTTGGACTAAGTCATTTTTTAAAAAATCTGTTTATTGGTGATCTGTAATATACTTCTCATTATACAAGTCAATCATTTAACAAAATCATACATCTCTCTCCAAATTTTATTTTAGATTATACTAAACCCGTTTTGAATGATGGTGTAGATGGTGAAAAAAAACCACTTCATTATTGGCATTGTGCCAAAATAAAGTTATTCATTTTCATAAGTTTGGTTTACTATTTTAAACATGATTATTAAGAGTGTCCAGGAGGATTTATTAAAAGCTTTATGATCTAGTGTTGCTTCCCAGATAACCTTTTACTTATAATGAAAATGATAACATTATCATATCAGGCGATGAGGTATTTAGACAGAAGGTAGTCAAGTAGACTGTGGACTAAGGAGAGATTCAACTTTTTGAAGTCTGCCCCTAGAAACAAACAGCAGTCCATATGGTAGTCTAAAACTTCTATCATAGTGTTAGAACTATATAAATCTTCATCTAGAAAGGCTGTTAACGTTCATGCAGAGTGCTAGGCACCATCAGCTCTAAAGTTGTTTGCTTTTTAGGTGTTTGTTTGAAGTTAGCAAATATAGTATGCAATCAAAATAGCCAACTTTGAAACTCAGATGATAGCTTTGTCCAAGTTGGCTACAATACCAGAAATACGAACTAAAGAGACTTTACCAAAAAACTTAAAATTTTTTTTTTGATTCTTCTTGCAGACTTAGTGTTCCTGAAAGTACACCTTTCACAGCAGTCTTAAAGTTTGCAGCAGAAGAAGTAAGTATGGAAATTAGAACAACCTTTATGGAATGCGGTTTGGAAATATGCTTCAAAAATTTTTACAATTTGTGTGCATTTTGACCCATCGTTTCTATGTGGGTTCCTTACTAGACTTATACTATTCTCAAAAAATTATAAGTAGAATGAAACTTGACTTACTTTCAGGTATAAGAGTGAGTTAAACAAATTGACACATCTGTTGTACGCACTCATTGACAATTATAAGGAGAATTCTTATTAAAATTTAAAGGGTACTGATATTTGTAAATGTTTTTTAAAACGTAACATATCACATTATATTCTATATACTCATATTTTTACTAGTTTTGATTCTGAAATTGCAATTTAATAAAATATTTATCATAGTTTTCAAATTTTCTGCATGAGCATGTGGATGGTCATTAACACTTGTTTTCAAATTTTCTGCATGAGCATGTGGATGATCATTAACACTTGTTTTCAAAGTGTCTAGTTTTTAAAAACATGTTTGACTTTGTTTGGTTTTTAAGATATAAAATTTTTCCTAGCCAAGTGTGGTGGCTGGCATCTGTAGTTTCAGCTACTTAGAAAGCTGAGGCAGAAGGATCGCCTGAGCCCAGCAGATCAAGGCTGTGGTGGCCGTGAGTGTTCCACTACACTCCAGCCTGGGCAACAGAGTGAGACTCCAACTCAAAAAAATTAAAAGTTATACATTTTTTTTAATAAAGATGTGGGGTACAATTCAGGGTTAGGTATACAAACGTTTATTATGTAGGTACCCTTGTTGAGGAGGTGTGCCCCTCCCCCACCCCTCCTCCCCAACAGTTTTCCACTACTGCCAATCTCTTTAAATTTTCCATACGAAATGATTAGAAGCCACATATAATGCAACTCTTTGGACAGGACACTTGGAAGAATAGCTTGATCTAGTAGTAATGGAACCAAAATGTGACTTGGAGTTCCTGTCCTAGTTGTGACATTAACTAGCCATATGACATAGGGCATATCCCTCAATTTCTCTCTTCCTTGATTTTTTATCTGTAAAATGAGAGTAGTTAATGCCTGTCCTTCCTGTTTGCTTAAGTGATTTTTAGTAAAAATATCATTTACCAAAATTTTGTGGTGAAGTTAAAAGTGCTAGACAGGTATAGAGTAACCCAAATCAAAATGGTTTCGTTCAGAATCTTTTAAAAAGTTTGTAGTCACAGAAGAATTTTAACAACGAAATAAATAAGAAGCCAGCTTAATACATAGTCTTGCCCTGAACTTGGATGAGTAATAGTAAGTTAGCCAGCCCACCAGTGCTCATAGCTTCTTGAAAACTACTGTCAGGAAGCGCTAACATCTTTTGTCACTCATTCAGAATTAAACTGCAAAGCAGTAGTCCTTGTTTTATAGTCAATTTTGATATATTCTTCAAGCAGAAAGGATAAATAAAATGAGGTGGGACACAACTCTGAATATAGCATTGTTATTACATTTTGCTACACAGATCACTTGCCAGAATATTCCTGGTCTGGGGAATTAGCAGAATCCACAAATTCCAGATTTAAGAAGTAGATCTATATAAGCTATAATTGATATTTGTTATAATACATTTTGTAGTGATTTTGACATATGTCCTTTATAATGCAAAGGCTGTGGTGATCTTGGTTTTCTACTAAAAGTAGAAAATCTAAACATATAGTTGAAAATAAACTAACAGACTTCACACAACCATTTATATTGATGAAGGTTTTAATATAGATTATAATTACCATGCATCATAGGTGCTACACATTTATTTTTTATTTTTTTGTGTTGGAATCTCACTCTGTTGCCCAAGCTAGAGTGTGGTGACATACATATGGCCACTGCATCCTCAACCTGCTGGGCTCAGGTGATCCTTCCATCTCAGTCTTCTGAGTTGCAAGAACCACAGGTGTGTGCCACTACTGTGGCTAATTTTTTTTAAATTATATTTTTAAAAAAAATTATTGTAGAGACGAGGTCTCACCAGATTGCCCAGGCTGATCTCGAACCCTGGATTCAGGCAGTCCTCTCGCCTGCTCCCCGCATAGTGCTGAGATTACAGGCTTGAGCCACATTGCCCAACAGTGCTATGCATTTAGAAAAAGTGTGACTTGCAGGCAGTGGTGAGAGAGGTTTTCATGAGATGATATTGTGAAATTTGTTTCAATAAGAACAAAAGTTGACTTGAAACCAAAGTCTGAATTTAAATTCCTGATAAAATTCTCTTAATAAACAATAATAAAATTCCCCAACACATGCCTGAGATTTAGTTTACTAATTAATGAGTTGTCAGAACCTGGAAAGAGCCTCCTAACATACTTACTTATAGGAATTATAGGATCTGAGGAAGAAAATAAATGAAAAACGAGGATCATAAAGTTTTGCATCTAGGAGAAAACTTGTCAGTATTACAGGACAAAACAGACTACTCCCTCTATTTTATATCACTATGTTGCCTCCCCCAATTTTCGCTTAACTATTGCTTCCACATTCTCCAGACGGGAAAAATGGCATCAGGAATTCCTTTTGATTTTTGAAGTTCATAAAATATGTTGTCATGACATGGGTGTGACTAAGCAAATAAATAACTTATCTTAAAATGAACATGATCTAAGAAGTAAGATTCACCCAGTAGGGTGACTGAGAGCCTTATAGGACTCTAGTTATGGAAATCTGAGAGCCTGATAATTAATTGAGTGTTTAGTCAAAATTTTATTGAGACTGTAGCTTCTACAAAATATTTTTTAAATTCACTTAAATACACTTTGAAGTTCTTTAAAAATTTCTGAATCTTTAACAGGACCCAATGAAGAATGTACCATATTGAGAGTAAAATTTGTTTATTATGTACCTAATACTGTATAGCAAATAATTGTTCTTTTTTTTTAACTTCAACATTTTTTTTATTTTAAAATTGTGGGGTACATTTCAGGGTTAGGTATGCAAATATTCACCGGGCAGTTACCGTTGTTGATGAGGTGTGCCCCCACTTCCCCAGGCAGATTTCTACTACTGTTAGTCCCGCCTCCCTGCCCCCCTCCTCTCCACAATTTCCTGCTACAGGCAATCCTTTTCTTATACTATTGCAGTAGTTGTTCAAGGTCCACTTATGAGTGAGAATGTGATATTCAGTTCTTTGTTTCTGTGAAAGATCACTCAGTATTATAGACTCTAATTCCATCCAGGTTGCCACAATTTCATGATTTTATTCTTCTTTATGGCTGTGTAATTTCCCATCATGTATATGTACCACATTTTTTTTAAACAGTTCTCTTTTGATGGAGAGCACGGTGGTTCCATGTTCTTGTTATTGTGAACAGTGCTGTGATAAACATATATGTGTGGGTATCTTTTTAAAAGAGTGATTTGAGTTCTTCTGGGTATATGCCCAGTAGGGGGATTGCAGGGTCATATGGAAGGTTGATTTTTAGAACTTTTAGGTATCACCACACTGTTTTCCACAGAGGCCGTACTAGTTTGCACTCCCACCAAGAGTGTCAGTGTTCCCTTTTCACAACATCCTTTCCAGCATCTGTTATTTTTTCAGTTATTGATGATGGCCATTCTGACTGGAGTTAGGTCGTATCTCAGTGTAGTTTTAATTTGCATCTCCTTGATGACAGTGAGAATGAATGTTTTTTCATGTATCTGTTGTCTGTTCGTATGTCTTCTTATGATAAGTGTCTATTCATATCTTTTGCCCACTTTGTAATGGGGCTGTTTGTTTTGTTCTTTTCGGCATGTTTGAGTTCCTTGTAGATCCTAGATGTTAGGCCTTTATCAGACACGGAGTTGGCAAATGTTTTTACCAGTCTGTGGGCTGTCTCCCTGCTCTCTTGATGGTTTCTTTGGCTTTGCAGAAGCTTGTCAGTTTGATGAGGTCCCACTTGTCTATGTTATCGCTTATGACCTGGGCACTTTTTGTTTTGATCAGGAATTGGTTGCCAGTTCCAATTTCCATAAGAGTGTCTCCTGAATTTTCTAAGGTTTTTATAGTTTGAGGTTTTACATTTAGGTCTCTGATCCATTTAGAGTTGATTTTTGTGTATGGGGATAGGTAGGGGTCCTGTTTCAATCTTCTGCATGTGGTCAGCCAGTTTTCCCAGCACCATTTACTGAGTAGGTTCTCATCACCCCAGTGCTTGGTGGTAGAGGCTTTGTTGAAGATGAGTTGATTGAGAAATTGAGGTTTTGCTTCTGGAATCTCAATTCTATTCCATTGATCTGTATGCCTGTACTTGTACCAATACCAGACTGTTTTGATTATTGTAGTTTTATAATAAAGTTTAAAGTCTGGGAGTGTGCTACCTCCTGCTTTGTGTTTTTTGCTGAGGATTGTTTTGGTTATTCTTGGTTGTTTATCTTTTCATATGAATTCCTATATTGTTGTTTCTAGGTCTTAAAAGAATGTTGCTGGTAATTTGATGGTATGCGTTAAATCTGTAATTCCCTTAGGTAAAATGGATATCTTAACAATGATTCTTCCAATCCAGAAGCATGGAATATTTTTCCACTTGTTTGTGTCATCTTTGATTTCTTAGACGTGTTTTGTAGTTTTCATTGTAAAGGTCTTTCACATCTCTGGTTAGGAAGATGCCGAGGTATTTCATTTTTTTTTGGTGACTATTGTGAATGGAATTGTGATTTTTTATTTGGGTTTCTGTTTGTTTATTATTGGTGTATAGAAATGCGATTGTAGTTGCAAATTTATTTATTTATTTATTTTATTTATTTATTTGAGTTGAAGTCTCACTCTGTTGCCCAGACTGGAGTGCAGATTATTTATTTATTTATTTATTTGAGTTGAAGTCTCACTCTGTTGCCCAGACTGGAGTGCAGTGGCCACCGCAGCCTCGACCTGCTGGGCTCTGGCAATCCTTCTGCCTCAGCTTGCAAATTTATTTTATACCCTGAGACTTTGCCAAAGTCTGCTATCAGTGAAAGGAAGTTTTTGACCGATTCTCCTGGGTTTTCAAGGTATAGAAACATGTCGTCTGCAAAGAGAG